AGTCAGCTAAAATAGATAAACTTTGGTCCTGATATACGGTAGGAATTCAAGAGGTGATGTCTATAATTACTATAATTACCAGTTTGATTGGAAGTGGTACTTCTTAGTAACATAACTTTAGAATATGACTTTAGCAAACACAGGAACAAGTTAGTATTTATTTATTTACTTTACTTTATCTTTTTCAGTTGCAGGAATTAAACTCAGGGCCTCACACTTACCTGGCAGGCACTGTACCACTGAGCTAAATCTCCAACCCCACAAGTTAGTCTTCGGAATCCCAAGTAAATTTTTTTCTTTTGGTCTAGAAATCGAACTCAGGACCTTACGCTTGCCAGGCAGATGCTGTGTCACTGAACTAAACCCCCATCCTCAAGTAAATATTTCTTTATTTTTATTTTTTTTAATGCACTTGGTTGTTCCAGAGTCTCACTGCTCAGCTTGGACTCGTGGTGATCCTCCTGCTTTCAGCCTCCCCAGTGCTGGGATTACAGGAGTGGGCCGTATGCCAGACTCTGGCTGGCTCCGCCCACCCTGGGGGCAGGGCTGGTCCACTGAGCTAGCTTGAGGTCCCCCCTCCCACCCCCAAGTAAATATTTCTGAGCTCCCTTCCCAGCTCCCACTGATGTATGTATCCAACAGGTACCTGCTCTGCGATAATCAGTTTAGTAGGCAAGGGGATATGGATATCAGCAAAACAGGGGTATGTCTTGCTTTGTGCACTTAGCTTTTTTTTTTTTTTTTTTTTTTTTACAATACTAGGGATTAAACTCAGGGCCTTTCCCCTTTCCTTCCTTCCTTCCATTCTCCTTATACAAGGTCTCCCTAAATTGTTCAATTGCCCAGGTTAAGACTCAAACTTGTGGTCTTCCTGCCATAGCCTCCTGAGGACCCGGGATTATAGACAGGCACCAACATGCTTGGCTTGACCTGTGCAATTTAACACCTAGTGGGAACAGTCAGAGAAATTTTATAAATGTAAAATTCCATGAAGTAATGAGTGCCATGAAGGGAAAGTTTGGGCACTTTGAGAATTGGTACCAGGAAGTACTAGTGTGGTCTGGAGAGGCAAGGAGACTTCCTCCAGGAAGCGAAGCTTGAGTTGAGATTTTATGATTAGCAGGAATGGCTGAGCTTGTCCTTGTGTCTTTCCTGACCTGCAGGGTCGCTAAGGCTGGCTCCCCTCACATCTTAGCTCCCCTAGACTCTGTAAGCCTCAGCCCCCTGGTGTGTGACTCAGATCCTAACACTCAGTGTTCTCTCTTCCTCCTTTTCCTTGGAGAGGTTGGGCAGACTGCAGGAGAGCAGAGAGGCATATGTACTTTGCACAAGGAAAGATAGGAGGATGCCTGCAGAGGAAGAGACAGCACGAATGCAGAGGGCACAGGCCAGCGGCCAAGTCCTCCCAAGCCATCTTTGTCCACTCAGAACATGAGAACTTACGTTGTTTTCCGCTTTTGCACTCCCTGGGGCTGACATTAAAAATGGCAAAACAATGCAGAGCAGTGCTGGCCCACAGCTGATGTTTTCTCCCAGGTGTTGTAAGCAGGGCCTGGAACTCTAGCACAATGGCACTGAATCAAGAAATGGACTTGGATCCTCTTCAATACAAAAAATCTCCATTCCAACAAGGAGCTAAATCAACCTTTGTGAACCAGACCCTCAGCCGCACTGTATTAGTCAACTTAGGCTGCTGTAACAAAATCCCACAGACTGAATAAAACAACAGAAACATCTTTACTCACAGCTCTCGAAGGTAGAAGTCCAAGATCAAGGTATCAGCATGGTTAGGATCTCACGAGGGCCTCTTCTTGGCTTGTTGACAGCCACCTTCTGATAGAAGAAAAAGAAAGGGACCGCTCTGGCGTCTCTTCATGTAAAGGAATGAAGCCCATCCAGTGAAGGTCCTGTCCTTATGAGCTCAGCGACCCCTTGCCTTCCAAGGCCCTGTCTTCTACCATGACAGTGGCCATGAGAATTTCAGTGCCAGAATTCAAGAGAACGCAAGTGCTCAGTCTTGAACACACCCCCCTCCCTTGGCAGAGGCAACCATTTCTCAAAGCTTCATATCTAATTCAGGTTGAGGAACCTCTTTGAGAAAATTATTTTAAATTTCTATTTCAGTCACCCACTGAGTCCCTTCACCTTCTTTTTTCTTAACATGCAAATAGCTATAATTACATACAATATTTACCTGAGTTTAATTGTTTGTTTTAGAGGGAACCTCCTTTTAGCTAAGCAGTTGCAAATAATGACTTTCTTTCCTATTATAAATTCTTTTGACTTAGGAGTTGCTTCTCCTCTGAAGATACCTGTGACATTAAGTATTACAATATTTCTCTCCCTTAGCAATTTTTTGCTCAGGTCTCAACCACTGAGGAAACCACTGTACATATTTAGCATTCTATACATCCTGTCAACCACAACTTCTGGGGCTCCGAATGTCAGCTTCAATCTATAGAAAAAGTGGAAAGGAAAGGCCAGTGCACATGACTGTCCTCTGCAAAGAGTGTAAGCTAGGGGTGTTGCCCAGTTTAGGCTTCTAAAAGAGTGGGGTTTTTAATTGTGATAAAATATACATAAATAAATTGTAACCATCTTTAAGTATATAATTCATTTTAAATATGTATGTAAATTACTGTACAGCTATCACCATTATCCATTTCTAGAACTTTTTCATCATCCCAAAGTGAGACTCTGTACCCATTAATCAGTAGCCCCATTCCTCCCTCTCTATCTGGCCTGGCCATCCTTCTCAATGAGTCTGCCCACTCTAAGGATCTCACAGTGGGGGAACCAAGCTCTTCTCTTTTTGCTTCTGGTGTATCTTGCTTTGCATTAACATCTGTATCTTAGCTCACTCAGGCCGCTATAATGAAATACCACAAACAGGCATGTTAGCCTATGAATACAAGAAATCTTACTTCTTACAGCTCTAGAGACTGGAAAGTCCAAGATCAAGATGCTAGAGATTTTATGACAGCCCATTTCGCATTCACAAGTGATACCTTCTCAGTGTCCTCATGTGATGGAGGGGACAAGCAGCTCCCTGGGGTCTCACTTGTAAGGGCATGAATCCTATCACAGTGGCCCCACCCGTGTGAGCTAACCACCCCCAGTCCTCATTTGCTGATGCTATTACATCACTTCCAATGGATGAATCTATAAGAGACATGAATATTCAGACTGTAGAGCCTTTCAAGCCCCATGCATGTTATAGCATATATCAGAAAGAATTTCCTTCTTTTTATGACTGAATAGCTTGCACTATCTGTATACACCACATGTTGTTTACCTATTAAGCTGTTGATGAACACTTCAGTTGTTTCCCTTCTAGCTATTGCCTAAAGAGGTTTAGCATAATAGATGAGATCTGGTGCTATTGTCACCTAGAACCAATTTAAGAACTAATTCCCTTTATTTCATTCTCTAGAATTATGGCATCGCACAGAGCAGGTTAGACACCAGGACACTCCAGGAGAGCTAAGGCTGAAGTGTGGGTAGCTGTGGTCATTAGGGGGCCCTTGCAGAGCTATCCTTGGGGACCAACAGAATACTTTGATGAGGGGATGGGGCTACATGACATAGACTTTCTGATTCTGTTAGAAACCCCTTTCACTTAAACTCATTCATTCACACTCACTCACTTCTCACTCCAGGGTCCCTAGACACTTACTGTAAGTCAGGGGTAAGCTGCCTATCTTAAACTCAGCTAGTGCAAACAGGGACATTAACACTGACTGTCCCAGGGAAAAGGCCCTGGGGGAAAAGGACACCTGATGTTGGGACCACACAGGGGCGTCCTCGCCTGGGGGAAATCACACCAGCACCAACTCCTAAACAAAGGGGAAGAGCTAACCAGATGAAGGAAGAGCTTGAAAAATGACCCCAGGAAGGACCTGCCAAGGCCTGGAGCTAGAAGGACCTGCAGTGGGCTTAGGCAAGAGATTTTTGCTTTCACAGAGAAGGAGCAGCCACTGAGGCAGGCAGGGGCCATTGGGTGAAGGCTTTTGTGTAGTGTTTGGTCTTAATACTGGGTCCAAAGGGGAGTTTGGATGGCCTTGACACAGGAGAAAGGAGAACAAGATCTTCCCTGGGAGGAAGCAGAGGGTAGAAAACCATGGAACAGCCCTCATCTTCTGAGCCCTTTGTGCATGCTGGGTACTGGTTTAGTGCTTCCCTCATAGAATCTGCTACTCCTCCAGACAGCAGCCAAGACCAGTGAGGAGGAAACTGAAGCTGAGGCAGCGACTTACCACGACCCCTAAGGTGGACCACAGGCACTGATCCGAGCTGGAAATAGCACTCCTTTTTAATTTATTTTATTTATTTATTTGTGTGTGTGTGTGTGTGTGTGTGTGTGTGTGTGTGTGGCCAGCTCAGCCCGCCTGGGGGCAGGGCTGGCTGGCATGTGGTGCTGGGGGATTGAACCGCGGTCCATGTGCTTTGCTAAGCTTGTTCAAAGTAGGTGCTTTAGACCACTGAGCCATCTCACCAGCCCTGGAAATAGCACTCCGGCAGGACAGTGTGGCCCTGGGGCCCGTAGGTCCTACCTTGTGTGGAAACTTGTTGGAAAAGCAGAATCTCCCGCTGGATCCTGACTTTCTAGGTCAGGATCTGCATCTTAATGTGCTCCCCCAGGATCTCCCCAAACACTGAAATCTGAGCAGCACAGATGGCTCTTCCTAAGTTTGGCTGTGCTTTTGAATCACCTGGGGAGTTTTAAAACTCAGTCTGTACCCTAAGGTCAGTTATATCAAAAGTGCTGGGGCTGCAACCCAGGCATCATGGTTTTTCAAAGTTACCCACTCGGCCAAGTCTTTGCATTTTACTTCCCAGTCCCTGGGGGAGCAGAGACAGCTCCTGCAGGGAGAGCTCACCTCTCAGCGTTCGGGGTCTGCGCAGCCACCAGCAGCTCTGTAGCTTTAAGAACCGAGGCTGGCTGCCTGCCAGGAAGCCAGTGCTGCTGCACAGGCCACGTGAGCTGGGCTGTGGGAGCTGAGGGGAGCTGAGCTCTGACAGTCAGCGCCAGGGGCTGGTCCCGGCTCGCAGCCCTGAGCCCTGCAGAATACGCAGGCTCCAGCGGCAAGCCAAAGAAAGGGGACCTTCATGCCTTTTGGAGGTAAGCACAAGTTCTGCAAGGCTGCGGGAACAGAGAGGAATTGTGTGAGGCCCTAGTCCAGACATCTCAAACAAACAGTAAGTCAGGAAGAAAGGAACACAGTACAGCCCCAGGTGACACCCACACACCCCCTGGCACACACCCCATCCCACCTGAGGATCTAACCCTGACAAGAGCTCAGCCCAGGGGGCTGTAGGGCAGAGCCTACCACCAGGACAGAAAAGTCCCTCAAGTTCTCCCCTGGGACCCATCTGTTCTAGAAAAGTCAGGGCCCAGTTCCTTACAAGTAGTACCTGGTGACTGACGCAACCTATCAGGCATGGTCATATTTCCCCTCTCTTCTCCTTCCTGAGAGGGCCTTTCAGTTGGTGTCCCTGCCCTTGAAAATCCCAAATATGTGAAAGCAAGAAAAAAAAAAAAAAAAAGGGAAACTGAAACTGTCAGTTATCTCCCAGCTCTGGGCCCAGGCCTGTGGTGGATGAGGTAATGAAACTTATGGCCAAAGGGGGTGGGGGTAGGGGTGACAGTGGGAGGGCAGGAACTGCAGGCCACAGCACACCTGGGGCAGCTGGCCAACCAGTTTCCTGGACACCTGCAGGGCTCAAAAGTCCTGCTCCCCCAGGGAAATCTCCAAGTTTTCTCTGGCTTCAGTCTCAGTCCCCATTTGGGGCCCCAACACCAAGGTGGAAGAGGAGACTGGGGCAGGCAGGCAGGCAGGCAGCTTCTGACCTGTGTGCCACCCAGGCTAAAAGCTGGGAGTTTCCTCCCTGGGTCATCCTGCTGCCCCCTGTATGGCAGGAGAGCTACCTGGGATCCAGCTCCCTTTGCGAGAGGAGTGTGAAACTATCCGTGTGCTGTGGGAACACAACAGCCTGAGCCTATGCAGGCCGGAAGAGGGTGTTAGCACTGCTTTTCACAGAGGCAAAGTGGTTACCTTCAAGGTAACTGGGTACCTCATGAGCTAAAATGAAGACTGTGTCTGGGAGCAGGAAGCCAAAGGAAAACAGGCTTCACAGGGCAGTGGAGTGAAGCTGAGGCAGAAAGAAGGGGAGGCAGTATGGGGTAAAGCAGGCCAGGGTGGAATTGGCTGAGTGAAAACTCCACTGGGCCTGTGCACAATGATGATGAGCCATTACCCGAGGCCAGATGTCACTTCTGACTGCCGGACCTGATCCGCATCCCAGGAGGTCAATGGGTAGCCCCTGAGTGATTGATTTGATATATGCAAGCACACTTAGAAAAGTGCGGAATTTCATGTGTAAATCTGAAAGTTCTGACAGCACGGGGCTCACGTGGCAGCAGAACAGTGGAAGAGAAGCTGAGTTTGCCAACACCTCTGCCCCACCTGCACTGTGAGCCCTTGCACCCCTCAGCTCACCCCCTCTTTCTGTGACTGCCTGGCTTCCATGAGGCATTGCAGAGGGATTTTGATAATGATTCTCTTCTACTGAGGGATGCGTATGTGTGTGTGTGTGTGTGTGTGTGTGTGTGTGTGTATCTGTGCCCATACCAGGTACACAAGTGTGCGCTCTTTCAATTATTTCTTTTTCAGTTGAGCATGCCAGATGCACAAAACCAAATGTGCCCCTTTCCTTGACAGATTTTGCAGCCTTTCCAGGCGATCTGCCAAATTGTTAGATGGTATTTGCACTAAAAACAAAAAAATTGAGTGCATTTTGTTATTTTGCCTTGAAGGATTTCCCAACCTGTCTTGAGACAATCTTTCATTGATGCCATGCCTTATCGCTTTCAAAACACTTCTTAAACATTCATAAATTCATTTGATCCTTCCAGAAGTTCCAGAAGGTCAGTGTTTGTCTCTCCTTTCCAAGCTTTCTTACAGGAAACTGACTGGTAAAGAAGCTAAATGACTTGCCCTGGTCCCCTAGTGATTTTGAGACTGACGTTTAGTCACATGGAGAACTAAGCATAGAATTCTATGCAGTCTTTTTGACTGCATAGAATTGTAAAAAGTGAGGCTCTGAAAAGCTTGGCGATCAAGAATGTGGTCTCATTTCAGAATACTTGGGTTGGACTGCCAGTTTGTCTGTCCTACAATAATGCTAAGTCTTCAAGCAAAGTATTTAACTTTCCTGACCCTCCTTTTCTGTACAATGGGAATAACAGCTCGCAAGTAGCGTTGCATGGATTACATGAGATCATAAGTGTTACACTTAGACAACACTTGTCATGTAGTAAGTGTTCAATAAATATCACCATAAGTTCCAATAGTATTTGTACCTGTGGGAAGCACTGTCGGAGGGCACAAACTGGGTTGTAACAAAAAGATCTCGAAATACATTTGCAGAAAACAGAAGCTTACTTCTCTTTCACCTAATGGCTAAGAGGTAGAGACGCAGTAAAGGGCAGAGAAACTGCTGTGCTTGACAGGGTCACTCTGGAGGCCAGGTCCATCAACCTTGTGGGTCCCTATTCTGCTGAGTCAACCTGGCTTGCTTCCACCCTCTGTTTCTGACTGTAGAAGAGGTGAAAGGACAAGGAGGATGAATGCCCCTTTCTAAATGGTGTTATTTAGAGTTTTTGTTACCAGCCAGTGAGGGTCATATGCTAAGGTTCATTTGCTCTCTGGTGTTCAAATCAAAGAGGGCCATTTACTCTGGTAGAAGGAAGGAAAAAGGATTTATTCAAAGCTAGCTCTGAGGAGATGGAAGCGCCTATTTGCCTCAAATCACCATCTCTTCGTGTAAGGGGAGTGGTTAAAGGTCTTTCATAGTAAGGAAGAATGACCGGGGAGCACAGACTGATATCGCTGATTTCCACACTTGCTTTATTGCTTTCAGCTATCTCCAGATCCTTTTCTCCTTTCTTGTGGAAAGGAAACTGGGCGCCTGCTCCCTAGGGTGGCATCTACTTCTCCTGCCACGGCTTTGAGGCTGAGGAGAGGCTGGTGTGTTGGTTATGTGTTAAGCAGGAGGAACGTTGGAGAAGTTGCTTATCTCTGAAAGAAAAAAAAAGTCTAACTTTTGAAGTTTCATTTCCCACGGCCAGTTACACTGTCACTCAGAACCTGGGCACTCTTTACTGCCAGGGAAGCTGAGAAACACAGTCTCCCACTCATCGATGAAGCATACCAGTGTAGAACTTAGGGATTCCCTTATTTAAAAGAAAGAAAGGAAAAGCAGAAACCGAATCAGTTAGCAGCCTATGTTCCACATTACAATGGACATGTGCTTTGAACTTGAATTTGGAGTCATTAATGCCTCCTGCCAGGTTTTCAGCACTCCTGGGCTCTATTTCCTGTCTACCTGATACTTGCGTTACCCTTGGGTTTCTTCTTCAGCACACCCTAAGGATGACTCCTGCTTCCGTGTTTCCAGTGACTACTCTGGTGACTTCTTGTGGGCTGGTTAGGTTCACAGGGTGATGAGCGTATTCCCTCCCTGCCCAGTCCTAGCAAGAGTGGCATCAGACTCTGGTTTTGGTTTTTTATTTTCTGGATCTTTTCATTTCCCCAATATTCAGGCTAGAGCACATACTCCCAAGTCTCTAGAAAGGCACTGTCCTTTGGGGTCTTTGATCTTGGGTGGCTGATTCAAGAAAAGCTTTCAGTCCATGGCTCTTGGATCCACCTTTGTGTGTGTTGAGGAGGCAATCTTCTCCCCATCGCCAGGGATTATCTAGGAGCCATAGGCTGTGCCTAAGAGTCCAAGTCCTTTGTTTGGTGATGAGATGGGTTAGGACCTGATCCTGAGCTGCTGTAATCTTCAAGTGCAACCTCCATAGTTTCCAGAAACCTCTAACTTAAGTTATAGCCTGATTGCCTGATTCCGTGAACATCTATCTCTACATCAATGCTCTGTTCTGGTTTTTGCAAATTATTATTATTTTTTTAAAATATTTATTTATTTATTTATTGTGTGTGTGTGTGTGGCCAGCTCAGCCCACCAGGGGGCGGGGCTAGCTGGCATGTGGTGCTGGGGGATTGAACCGCGGTCCCTGAGCTTTGCTGAGCTTGTTCCAAGTAGGTGCTTTAGACCACTGAGCCATCTCACCAGCCCCAACAGGACAGTCTTGATAGTCAATACACTGTACATTGTTATCTTCTTAGTGGTTATCCATGGTACAAGAAGCTGACAGGATATTCTGACCAAACACTGTTAGTACACCTCTTTCTTCGCATTGAGTTATGCGAAAGTTGCTGTAAATTTATTCTATTTTGTATGTATAAATACAAAATGATCTTTCCCTTGTATCTTTTTTAAAAATTTTTATTTATTTATTTATTTTGTCCTGTCAGAGGTGAATATTCTAATGGCATCTAAATACTGTAAGTGTTTGAATTCAACTAAACAATCTAACACTGTCTAGCAGTCTATAATATTAATGGGTAGAACCAGGGATTTGAACTCAGGCCCTTGCACTTGCCAGTCAAGTGCTTATTCTACTACGCCATCTCCCCAGCCCCAATAACCAGCCTTTTTAAAAAACAAGATTTTGTATTAATTATTGAAACTGTCCTATCAATCGGTTTTGAAACTTCTCATTGTTATTTGTTTCTCAATAAAATTATTAAAAATTAAAAAATAAAATAAAAGTTAAAAAAACAAAATTTCTTTTCAGATTTTGAGACAAGGTCCTGTTAAATTGATGAGCTGCCCAAGCTGGACTCAAACTTGTGATCCTTTTGCCTCAACCTCCTGCAGTGCTGGGATTACAAGCTTGTGCCACCATGCCCAGCTATCCTTAACTCTTCTCTATTTTTTTTTCCTTAACTCTTTTCTAAACCCCCATTTTATGATTTCTCTTTGTCACTGTCAGTGACAGAGAACCCATCCTATCCATTGACAAAACTGATCACCTCAGTCTCTAGGAAACCTGAGTGCTCCCTGAAAACCACCTTGTTTGTCTCCTCCTCTTCTCCATCCTTGGCCAGCACCAGTGCGGGAAGAGATGCACCCTGCCCCACACTGTCCTCACGTTGCTCCCCTTGCCCTCCCACCTCCTCTGCAACCTTCCTCCATCCATTACTCCCCTCACAT